GCAGCTGCTACGGTCCGTCTGTAGAGCGTGGCTCTCAGCTGCTGACAGGCTGCGTCTGGTCATTCATCTGTCTGTGTGTGTGTGTGTGTGTGTGTGTGTGGAGGAAAGTGGATTTTCTTTTCTCTTTCATCATCTCTCTAGAAATAGAACCCTTTCTTAATCCCACTGAGAGACTGACTGAGGCAGAACATGTGGCTTTAACAAAACAGTGGCAAAAAAACACGGGCAGGAAGGACAGAGACGTGAACGACAAGAACCTTCTCCATCCCATAATCACATGAATAAAAACATTAAAATCCAGTGGAAAAAAATACTGGTCACCACAGCAGACTTATCTGTGTTACACTGAACTATCCTGATCCCGTATCAATCTCCTCAGTCATTGATCAGTTATTGTTTTTTTTTTATCACCAAGTCCAGTCCAATATTCCTGGTGTTGGTTCATGTTCGTGTTCTTTTCTTTCTTCTCTAGTGATTCCAAATGTAGATCCCTCTGTTCCAGAGTTAGGAACTGATGTTCAGATGGAACAGAGTCTCAGACTAGGATCACACTGGGGGGGGGCAGACAAGGATCACACTCTGTGATGTGTGTATCTGTGCATGTTTTATAAAAGTCCATTCAATATGGGGACAGTTTTCCACCGTCCTCACTGAGTAAGACCTCAGTGGATGGACACGTCCACCGTTTGATAGTGTGGGCCTTATCTTGATAACCATTCAATACACTTTATAGCACAGGTTTAAACATTGACCATTGGCTGTTGTTGAAACTATGACAGAGACTGATTCACTGTGTCAGCGCTCAGGTCAGAGTTTGGTCCAAACTTTGTTTTACAAATTTCCCAGTGAGGTGACGAACAAATGACTTCCTCATCGTCAACTATCGAGCAACAGATCTTATTGATGACCGTGGTCTGGTTCAAAGAGCTGTTAGCTCTAACCTTCAAGTGTTTGTTGTCCTTCAACATAAGAACAACAAAGTTTGGATTTCTTTATTGGAGCGAGCGACTGGTCATGTCAGCAACATGACAGGAATGATAAAAACAGGTGTGGTAAAGTCACTGGAGCATAAATCCTCATAAACTCATAAACCAAAGTACAGAGTCCACCTAGATTATTCTACACTCAGCCCCTCCCTGTGAGATTATTAGGTGAAGTTCTTTGTCCTGCTCTGAGGTGAATCAGTCTGTCAGTTGACTTGAGAGAGTAAAATGGAGGAGCAGAGAAATCAGGTGAACCCAGAAAGATTCTGCTGTTCTATCTGTCTGGATCTACTGAAGGATCCTGTGACCATTCCCTGTGGACACAGCTACTGTAAAGTCTGCATTGAAGGACACTGG